TTGTTAGTCCAAATTATTACATTTAAATTTATAGCTCTAATTCAAGCAGAATAGCCTACTGTCAACATAATTATGGAGTGTGATTTATTTTCAACTCAAAATATCTTCAAACTAATGAAATATAAAGTTATTAGTGAAGAAACCCCGTCTGGATAACAGCAGACTGACTGCTCGTAAAATGTACGACAGGTCTGGACCACTCGTGAATTTTGTTCGTATCTGAAAAAAATCGTAGAATACGAAAACACTGGTGAATGCCACAAATTCTCCTAAACCACTCGTACGCACAATTTAAGAACAAATCTGTGCGTACGAACGGTTCTTACATGAGGCCCAATGTTTCAATAAAGACCAGAGCTCTCTTCCTTAAATAATTCCTCTTTGATGTCACTTCCTGTTTCATTTTGGCCAAGTTCAGAAGAAAGTCTGCCAGTTATGAGACAAAATTGGTAAAATCATGTGTATTATGTCAAGTTTCTTATATAGAAGTTTTCTTTGACTTTTTGTATTGGAATACGCATGTCACAGGCACTTTACAATGAGCTTAAAATGTTCCAAATAAAATATGCAGTAAAAGTACATAAACTCATACTGCTTTATTAAAATGTCATAAATACTGTGCACCTCCACAACTTTGCTCAGCATCACACTTACTCTGTGTTTCACTATAAAGAGGACACCTTTGAATTTGTTTATTGTGGTCACTATGTGCAAAAACAAAAAAATGTGCTCCGAGTATTTATCCGACTTTATTATCACGGTTTTAACCTGAAATGCTGCAGTGGGTTTCTGTAACACTGTGCCGCTACGTCAGCGTTCTCACCAAAAGACTCAAAGCTCTTCTGTAGGCTGATAACCGCTGACAGAAAAGAAAACCTGAACTCGTTCTGCAGACAGAGCAAAGCTCTGGTTGGGATTCGGTGAAAATGACGGCCGTATCTGCACGCAGTTTAAGACGACGGCGCGCCGAGGAGACAAACTGACAGAGCGATGTCCCGAGCCGTCGCTCACCGCCGGCTTCGAGCAGCAGAAACAAAAAAATCACATCTGATGATGGTGCATCCTCCACTGCTTTAAAACTACCAGGAACAAACACTTAAAGCGCGTCGGACTGCGTGAGCATCACTACTGACCTCGAGCTCCGTCTCACATCTGTTGATGTCGTCGGTGGATTGGTTGAGTTTCTCCAGTTCTCCCTTTGAGAGACAGAAATGACAACTTAGTACCTAGAGAACAACACTTCAGCATGAGAAACAAATTAAATATAAATGACATTAGCTGTTAGGAGGATTGAAACTTGTACAAGAGCAAAAATGTTTGTGTAGAGTTCAAAAATCTGTTTAAGCCATATTTATTTTAATAAAGCTGGACTTTAAGGCAGGATTTATTTAATAATAGATTGATATTTCTTCACTATTTCTATGTTTACTGATTTTTTTGGTTTCTAAGGCATCAAATTATAAAGACTCCCATGTTAGACAAGCCATATGATAAAGTTTTAACAAAACAAGCAAAAAGTCCAAAACAATCAATAGTTTCAGCCTCTCTGGGGTGATTTTCTGTTTTCACGTGACAGGAAATGAACAAATTAAGACAAACTGGACAAACCTGGCTGATAACATCAACATGGATATTAGAAAAAATTTATAAAAACAGAAAAAAAAATCATTGCCATCCAGACCAGTTCTTGTGAGAAACACCTCCTTTGTTTTTGGTGGAAATACATCAGCTGTTTTATCTCTAAGCAACAAATCTCTTCAAATGAATCTTTGACACATCACTGCATCTGTTTTTAGGCAAAAGTTCACAGCAGCTGCAGGAAACCGTCCCAGTCGAATGAGTCGTTTTACATACAGGATTAAAATTATAAAAAATAAATTTAAAGAAACGAAATTATTGTTGCTTTTAGTAAAAAAAAACAATGAGTGAGGTGAGACCATAATGACTGAATGAATGAGTTCGCTGTTGGCTGCATCAGAAGGCAAAAACCCGTTGAAATTAGTCACATTATTTTTATTGTTTTAATAAATAAACAAAATTTATTGCAATGAAAGTAAATCTGCAATACCTGTATCCTGGGGTCCACCTCCTCGTCTTCATACTCAGCCTCATCGTCCGACCTGTGCTCCTTCTCTAAACGGTCCATGGTTGGAGGTGGAGAGACGCCACGAAGCCGAACAAAGACGGGTCTTAGAACCGCCTGAGACTCCGCAGACTCATCCGTCTCAGCCGGACACCTCAGGCGTGGATTCTCCTTTGCTCTGCTCGGTCCTCAGATGTTAACCATTTCTTTAAAATAAGAGCTAGTGTTTTTTTTTTTTTACAGAAACATGCTCCTGGCTCCCACCTGCCTGACCGAGCTGCACTGTGTCTCTGTTCGCGTTGAAGTGAGAATGAAATGACCGGAGCTCCGCTCAGACCGTGAACGCCTCATTTAGAGGTGGACTGTATGACGGGTGATCAGTGCCGGACAGGGCACGTTTCACACAAAACTACAAAAACTCTGACATACATACATACATACATACATACATACATACATACATACATACATACATACATACATACATACATACATACATACATACATACATACATACA